CTTCTAATAAAGTTGATAAAGTCTTTTCATATCTAATATTCATTCATCAAATATTTCTTGAAATACTACATTCATGCTGAAGACTCAAAGTTAAATACTAATTGATAAATTACTCTTGAGAAACTACTCAGAGTTAGGAAAACATGTGAACAGAAATATTACACAGTAATCCATGAAGACCTCAAGAGAGAGGTGTTAGCTGAATTTGGACTTGAACGATGAGTGAAAATTAGCCAATTGGGAAGGAGATGTCCATGGAAGGAAGAAAGAGTAGTATGTATAAACAGCATGGTGTATTACCAGCTGAGAAACATACACTTCAGGTAAAGGTGTTCAAGGTGTTGTCTATTTGCAGCAAACAGATGATAGAAGATGACTAGTTTTGATGTAGAGGATGAGTACTGTGGTGACAAGATTGAGTCTGAGGTAGAACTAGGAGATAGAAGTAGTGGTGAGGCTCGAGTGAATTTTCTTAACATTTGGCTGAAGTCCATTTGCCTTAATAGAAAAGTCCACTTTTCTGCAAAAGTAGAGTTCTGCCTTCATTACCCTAAGATTTGACTTTCCTGTTAAGGCAAATACGTTTGACCTAACCTGACTTGAATAACAAGATTTATGGCCCAGGGTGACTCAAATCCCTTACTCTTAAAGAGACAAAGTTTTCCTTCCCAGAGGAAGCAATCTTGGTCAACTTAAAAACTCTGATAGCACTTATTATCTGAGCTATTTGACATTTAATTACATGCTAACTTTTATTGTTATCTTAACTGTTTAATATGTTTACATCATACTTTCCCAAATCATTTTTAGCTCCATGATAGCAGGAAGTTTTTTTCCATCCCCTATACCCTACAGGTGTAGCATATTACTGGCCACATTCTATAAAGAGGGGAAACAAAAAAAGAAGAAAATTAAAACATTTAAAAAAGGAAGAAAGGATGAAAGAAAAAATAAGTTAACTTTTTGCCCATCAATATTTTTAAAAACTCTATTTTGAATATATTGGTGGCAAGAAAAGTCATCCTTCAATATTTGCAACAAACCATAATATGTGAAGTTGAAATAATCCAAAAAAACTGATACTCAAAACAGAGGATCCTACTGTGACCAATGCAGACTCTTCTCCCATACATACCAGGTTCCCATACGTCATAGTGACTTTTATCTAGCTTTCTAAAGATAAAGGAAATAGGATGGGAGGTTTTCATTTTCCTATAGGTTGGACCCATTAATTCTGTATGACATTTAACATGTCAATATCTGTCTCCTCCTAGGATCCCATCTATAAAATGGAGATGACCAAACATACCTTCTATATGCCTCACAGGAGGATGATAAAATCAATGAGGCAAACCACGTGTTGAATATTTGAAGGCTAGGATTCCAGGTGATGAATGGTTCTTTCCCTTCTGTCCTATTAAGGGGAAAGAAGTGGGAATACTCAGGGGAAAATTAAAGGGACATGAAAATGCAATCTCCACTTCATTCTTTTTTTAAAAGGTTTCATATATAAGTTTGTCTTGAGAATGTGTTCAGATTTATAATTTTAAAATGTAGACATTTGAGGATTTCAGTTATCCATTTTTTCCCCATTCTCTATTAGCAATCAATATGCTCTATCAATGCAGAATTTTTAAGCTTCTTCAAAACAAGATGCTCTGCAAATATGAGTTATTTGTCTATATCAACCAGCATGGGGGAAAAGGGGAGATTATTCAGCTTCTACTCCATTATTCGAAAGGTAGATTTATCAGATTAAAAGGTTTACAAAAGAATTTCAATAGGTAAATATCAACCTGGCTGAAAACAGTTTAATAGTGATTAATATTCTACAGCTAATAAAAACTTGCTGGCAAAATGCCCCCAGAAGATGGCATTGTTTACACTATTGTCTAAGAGGAACAGCTGTTTACCCCTTGCTACAGTCAGAGCTGCAGTATTCTTACTGAAATGTTAACAAATCTTAGACAAATGTCTGCTGTTTAAGGCTCAAAGTTGCTGTGAGAACAGGTGTGTTTGAGAGCGAGAAAAAAAGCTTCAACTGTAAATAGGACTTTAAATTAGGTGCAATTTATATACTATACACTAGGTCTGCATATGGACGTCTAAATGCAGAGTTCCAATATTTGCTATAACTTGAAGATCATTCACAGTTTGGGGGCTTCACATAACAAATTTCCCCGATTGCCTTTTAGCATATATTCCAAGCACATTTTACTGACAGAGATAGATTCATTTTAAGTCATTCTGTCAGAAAATGAAGGCAACATCTTCCATAATTTTTGAAATATTTTATTTAACTAAACAATTTTTGGAGAAGTGTAGAAGGTGGGATGATATAGTGGAACAGTAAACTCAATGACTAAAGACCTGTGTTCTCTGAGTATCATTTTCCTGTTTGTAAAAAAGGGAGGCCTTGTAGTGTGGGTAAGGATGTGAAGCTAGGGGAAACCTCACACACTGCTGGTGGGAGAGGCAGGTATGAATTGGCAACATCATTTTGTAAAGAAACTGGCAATACCTACTCAAGCTGAAGGTAAGCATTTCCTATAATCAGAAATTGTACTTCTAAACACATATTTGAAAAAAACTAAGAGATAGGTACAAAATTGTTTAGCTTTTATGGAGGGAAAAAACCTGGAAATAATCTGTAGATTCATAAACAGAAGAATTAATGAATAAATTGTGGCATATTGATAAAATGAAATACAATGCAGCAGTTAAAATGAAAGACTTAGGACTACATGTATCCAAATGCATAAATTCCAAAAATATAATGTTGAGTAAATTGCAAGGTGCAAAATGAAACAGTATAATACCATTTATATATTGGTTAAAGACAAACCAACATACATATTGTTTAGGGATGTAAATATGCATGGTAAAAGTATAAAAACATGATGTATAGGAATGAAAAAGAATATTTATTTCTATATGGTGGGAAATGAATGGGGTCAGGCAAGAATGCAAAAGTAATATTTTATTATTTTTAAAAAACATCTAAAAGTTGAACATACAAACTGGATAACGGTTCATATTTTTTCTAGACTCTCTAGTATAATTAAACTAGCCACTTGGGTTTTTTTTTTTTTTTTAATTTTTCTTTTTAAACTGGGGATCCTAAAAGGCCAGGGGTTGAGTGGCAGCCACACCCGGGCCAAGCAGCTGGACTTTGAACCCCAGCCCCTCCCCACTCAGGCCCCTGTGACAGGGCAGCTTCCTAGATCACTTCAGCTTTATATTTTGTAATTTAGCAGCTCCTGAGCATGGCCTTTCTCCAACAACTAAAGCCTGTGCTGGAGAAGTCTTCTGGTTGCCTAAGAATCTAGCAACTAACAATTATTTTCAGTTAGAAGCTTATAGACAAGAGAGTCATTTACTCACAAGTGTGAGGACCTTCAGAAGTCTTTCACTGTAATAAAATAACGGCGTCACTAATCCAATTGTCATTCAACTACTTTTTAGTATTCCAATGATGTGAGTCCAGCTCTAACCCAAACCGCAGAGTTAACCTCAGGATTCACGCAGAAACTGCTTGAAACCCAGCTCAACCTGCTGTTGCTGTGCAGCTGGCAGCTGAAGACCAAGGGTGTCAGGAATCCACAGTGTAAAATAAGTCTGCGTGTTTGCTACCTGCGGGGGGAGGGGGCGGGAAAGGGAGACATCAACTTCCTCTGAAGTGACTCTACCCCTAACTCGCTTGAACGCTTCACACAGGAGGAATCATTATGGTCCCTCATTTCAAGGTTTGACAGCTTTCTGACAGCTTCCAATAAAAAAAAACCAGTAAGTTGATTTACAGCAAAGAAGGAGAGACCCAGATGTAAAATAGAAGCCAAAGACAGAACCAGGGCTTCTAACAGGGAGCCTCTAGGGAGAAACCAAAACTACTCTTTTCCCTCTTTAAATTTAAATCTTTCCAGCGGAGCCCTCAGATCTGGAATCTTATGAGCCACCAGGCCCCCCTCGCTGACTTTCATCACTGCCACACCCAATTTGTCTCTCCCGTCTCTCAGGCGCCAGCGAACCGCCTGGGCTCCGGCATCTACAGCACCCAGCACCTCGCGGTGCTTGCCCAAAGCTGCGTGCCAACAGCGAGGAAGGAGACGCAGACGCGGTCGCCGGTGAAAGGAGCAGCGATAGGAGAGGGTGCGGGGTCGGCAATGCAGGGGAGAGGACATCATGTTAAACGCTAAATCAGAAATCCCAATATTATCAATATCCATCAGCCTTCTATACTACGGAACAAACACAGGCGAAATTAAATCGCATAATTCGTCTTCCCTCTCCTCTCAAAAAAACAAAAAAAAAAAAGCATCTGGTTAGCTCGTGTCAAAGCTTTCCACGGTAAATTCTCTCTTGCTAATGCGTTCTGCCTTCCAACTCCCTTTAGTATCCCTTCAGCAGCGTTCTTCGAAAACCCGGTTTAAATTTCAGTACCTTTACTCATCCTCTAAGCGGGCGAGGAGGAAGGAGGGGAAGAGAGACGGAGAGACAGAGACAGACGTCTCCCTTCCCGTTCCCTTTCCCTCGCAGGTAGCCCGAGCGCACCGCAGCGGCGCGGCGGCGGCGAGGACCGGCCGGCGCGGGGCGGAGACCCGCCCAGGCCGCTCTTATAGGAGGGCGCGGGGCGGGCCTGGCCGGGGGCGGCGCCGCGCGCCCGCTCGCCTATAAGGGGCTGTGCGCCGCGCGCGCACCGGTTCCAGCTCCAGCGTCCGACGAGGCGGATTCGGCTGTCCGCCGAGCTTGGCGCCTGTTGTTACAATTGGGTCTGGATTTGCACCTTTAAGGAGGGGGGGCGAGGAGGAAGAGGAGGGCGAGGAAGGCGAGTACAGCAAGCGACAGTTGCAGGGACTGTAGCTTCGGCGGCAGCTCCAGAGAAGACGCCGCTACGGTTTCGATAGAGCGTCTGGGCACGGGATGGAGTGAAGCAGCGAGTGCTCTCCAAGGTGGGGTGGGAGGGGGTCAGGCGGTGCAGCGGAGAAAGAGAGAGAGAGAAAGAAGCCGCGACTGGCGCCTGCGAATTTGGGATTCGATTGGGAGGCACCGCTTACTCGGGGGAAATGGATTCTGTACCACGGCTGACCAGCGTTTTCACTTTGCTGTTCTCCGGTTTGTGGCATTTAGGATTAACAGCGACAAATTGTGAGTACCAGGAGCTGGGGGCGGGTAGGTGAGGTGGGAAATGCTAGCATTTGGAAAGACACTCAACTATCCAAACGTGTTCAATTATGTCTGCTCTAAGCAGAGGAAAAGGAAAAAAAATACTGATTGGTGTGGTTCCATCACTCTAACCATCCCAAAAGTTAGCAGAGCTCGGATAAGCCAGCCCCTCTGGATTTCCTGCCCTTCTCCCCGAATGGCAAAGTTGGGGGGAGAAGGGAAGGTTCTCTTCCCTTAGCCTCCTGCCGCCTCCGCGTTCTGTGCCTGCCTGATTTCAGCCAGGGCTTTTCCCGAGAAGGGCCCCCTGTTCAGATTGTATGCACCAGGGGCTGAGCTTCCAGGGATAGAGATGCTCCCAGCCACTGCACTCGGTGACAGCGGCTCACTTCTGAATGCGGCTGCCTCGGATATGCAGTATGCTCAGTGCTTCACAATAGAGGGCTTTCAGCTCTCCCCTAGGCAGAAGGCTCCAGTTGGGGTTTCTTGCAACCAATGGGCATCGGTTTAACAGGATTAGGAGTTCTGGCCTAAGAGTCATGGCCCAATGTAGTCAAACCACAAGATCAATGGCTGCCCCTGTTACAGGAGGCAGAGCTTCGATGCACACTCCATCCCCAAAATCTTTGTGCCAAAGAACACATAATGAGTATGCACTAAGTGTACACTCTGTCGTCCAAGCTCTAACCTGGGCAAGTGCGGGGCATTTAATTTAATAGGCAGGAAGGCTGGACACCTGGGGATCTGCCACCTGCACTGTGTATTTAAAGAACCCAGTTCGTCAAACTTCAATAAATTGCTAGAGCCATCAGAGGTTCAAGTTCAATTGCTCAGCTGCCTCTCTGGGCAGAGAAAGGGAAGTTTTTCCGGCTCTGGAAACTCTTAAATGAGAAAGAAGGCCATTAAGCCATGTGTGTTGTTTCCAAAGATGGTTTATCAAGGTCCCTCAAGTTTCTGGGCTTGCTCCTCTATCTGCTAACCCACCACGAACCTCAGAAATGTTTAACTATATTGGAATAGTTCTGATGCTATTTTTTGTAGTCTGAACCATGACTGCTAGAGAAAGGTAGGAAGACTACTTACTAGTTATGAATCCCTCTACCTCACTGCCCACTCTCTCAGGTCCAAGAGGACCTTGAGTAAGAGAGAGTCTACACAGGGAAGACAGTTAGATAAATGTTATTTACTGAAAATGGTCCAAAGCAGAGCCAGTGTTTCTATCTGTGATTGGAAGTTTTGGAGATCCAGAATCTATAGTTAGTGGTAATGCCATATAAAGATTTTATTTAAGTTTGTATTCTAAAGGCATACTGAAGAGGTCAACCTCTCTAAAACGGAGGAGCCCAAGAGCCTTAGTTTAGAAATTATTTCAGAGAATAGGTAGGGAAGAGTTAGAATCTGATATTTCTCTTCTTCTCCCCCCCCCCCACCTCCTTCTTATTCTTCATTTAAGTGAAATTGTTCCCATGGTGCTTTAGAAAAACATCTAAGTGGATTAATAAGAGGAAGTCAGGCATGATGCTGAGCTGGTCTGTCTACCTCCTAGAACACTAGAGGTCAGTATTGTCCTAATGTTGGAAAGGTGTGGCAGCGAAATAGCTGTGTTTTTCCCTTAGCACATTTACCTACCTGAAAATAGTGAATATTTTGAAGATCCACAAAGGTGGGGTGAGGAATAAGGGTGAAATAGATAGAACATATTCTATAGGAATATGGTTTGTGCTTTCTTTTGTAGCACCTTTTCTTAAGAGCAAAGAAAAAAATGAATTGTAGAATGGCATTTTCTGTAAATTAATTGTTATAGTTGATATGTTATAATAATGCTCATAAAACCTAAATGGCATGGATTTAAGGCTCATGCTTATCATTACTGGTGCAACAATAAAGCTAATTTTCAACATTTAAAATGAAACTTTGTGATAATGAGCTTTAGTATTTCATCAGTGACAGTTTAATTTCCCTATTTCCAATCAGCATTTCAATTGAATGCATGCTGCTTGCTAAATATTTTGGGTTCAATGTTCTTAAGTTATAATGATAAATGTTTTTATTACACTGAACAAAATGTAATAATTCAGTGAACAATAGAATAGCAGCAGAAAATTACTTTTGAACTCAGTAAATCTTGGTGGTCTTCAGAACCTGTGATGCAGAACCTCTGAGAAAAAACATTAATGTTCCACAATTCTTCCAGACTTCCATTGTCCACACAATTTATCCATTAAATATACGGCTTTGATTTACCATTTATCTACAATCCATTAACATTTATATGCCTACACTGAGGAAGAGAAGTCTCCTTTCAAATAGTCAATTTGTATGTTTATAGATTATTTGGAGATTTTTTTTCAAAACTAATCTTTCTATATTTTGAAATAACATTTTACATCATTTGTGACAGTAGCCTTGAAAATGTATTATTTATGCAAGATGGTCCATGATATCTAGGTATACCTGTGAACTTTGTTCAAGTAAAAACAACTTTTAATTGTTTCCATTCTTCTAAAAATAATTTGTTGTTGTTGTTGTATATAGAATGTTTGTGTGTGTGTGTTTAATTTTCTCATAATCTGACCAAAACTTGGGCATTTATCTGCAAGGGAAACATAAATGCTAACCCAATTATAGATTTTATAAGTTTCTAATTAAACAAAATTAAAATAAAGTCAGGTTAGAAGGCCAGCTGCAGTATAGATATTATGAATCTGTGTAGAGAACATAATTACTGACAAGTAATAAAAACTCCGGAAATTCCCCTATTCCGGATTTTCAGGATATTAAATAGCTATAACACTTCCTTTGGGTTTACCCTGAGGGAATTAGTTAATTTCAAATGTAGCTATAATAGGCCTGTGTTAAATGAAAAACCATTTTACATGTAATACCAACTCCTTTGACACGAGAAGAAACTGTGTGACTTGATACTTGGTTAAAATGAAACCAGGAGTTTGAAGTGCTGTGGAGTGCTAGCCCTAGTTATGCAACAGCTAAGAGGTCAAATGCCCGTCAGGTTATGCAACCTTCCTGTGCTCACAGGCTTGGGTATAAAACAGCAATTGAGATATGGATCTACTCCCAAACAGAACAGCAACTCAATATTTTACTGAGGGGGTTCTTGGATATGAGGTATGTTGAAAGGCTATTGTAATGGGAGAACTTGCATTCAGAAGATAAGAGGAATGCATGGAACACTTATAGGGTCACGATTCGCTTTATTTTTAACAACAATCGGATGTTTCATGATTATGAAGAGCCTTGATTTTGACCAATAAGTCACTTTGAATGATCTTCAAGCATCTTATCTGTTTGTTGTTACATATTAGGTTCACCCAGATAATAGCCTTGAGCGAGAAATCAAAAACTCTTTATTCTAGCCCTTTCCTCAAGACAGAATTTCATCTAAAATATACAAGATGTCAACCATATTCATAAAAATCTTCAGCTAAAGAGCTGCATCATACCTTGAGTTATCTGAAGTTTATGCACAAACCCAATCAATAGGTAATATTATAAATAAACAAAGATCAGGCTGATTTTTTCAGCGGGAGAGTGTTTGCGGTATACTTTGTGTGGCATTTACAGTCAGCAGAAGTGAAGGAAGCACTATAATGCTCCTTTGGAAGAGTCCTAAAGATTTTCCTATGGTTAAATGGGTTTATCTTTGACAATCCATGTGAACTCTCTTCCCTTTCTTTTCACAAAGCCCCCATCTCCAAACTAGAGTCATATTTCCACAACTGGAAAATGTAAATGAAAAACTAGACTAGCAATTTCCACACAGGGGTATAGAACTATGAGAAAATTAGTTGCCATGAGAATAACCTCACTCTACCCATTTATTCTCATTCTAATGCATGACTGTCCTCTAAATTACAGTTTTCTTTTTCCCCTGCTCTTCTTCCCAATTGCTTTTTCTTCAGTGGGACTCAGTTTTCTTTTAGTACATTGCTTTACTTTTCAATGCCAATTTGTTATGAAACAGAGTAATGTGATATTCTTTGAAATGTTCCTAAAACCTTTAATCGGTGATCCAAAGCCCATTAATTTATATGCCAGAACTCTGCTGAAATATGGCCTACATATGCAAAGCTAATTATCCTTGCCATGGGGGAAAGGGTCTAGTTACCTGAAAGGCCAGAATAGAATAGTCATTCACTCAATCAGACTTTATTTTAAAGCTTCAGTGTACTCATTTGGAGCCAATAATGACATTTTTAATTCATAAGGGAAGCTGTCTTCATTCATCAAAACTCTGACACTTTCTGGGGGGGTGTCCTTATAAAGGTTATTGACTTATCCTAATGATCTTGGTGTATTAAATGAAGGAGTTTGATCAAATAATTATTAAGTTCCTATCTAGTCCTAATGTATTTTTGTCTTTAACTGATGATGTTGCCTACTGGTTTTTTCATTTGGATACTTCTGGGATGATTGTACTCAAAATTGTTAAGCAATTATATTTAGAATAACAACATAGTAGGGTTTTAATTCCTACTAACTGCTATGCACTTTGTATCTCTCACTTCATATACTGTGTCCACATAATTTTGCAAGGCAGCACAGCTAGGTAGACTTTATTAAATCCAGGTTACAGATGAGTAAATTTAAGGTTAATAGAAGTTAATAATTTTCACAGGATCATAAAGCCAAGCAATGAAAAAAATCAGAAATTGGACCTATATCTATCTTTCTCCAAAGACCAGACTGTTTGCATGATGTGAAATTAATTCCCATGCCTCCAGTTAGGGTCTGTGTGTGAGCATCTGTGGAAGGTTGCCTTGGGATCCCTATGGTTAGTCTCTGTAGCTCTAGCCGTAGCAAAGGGCACGGAGTAGCAGTTTTCAGCAGAGCCAACTTTTGAGTCATACCTTAGAAAACAAAAAAAACAAAACTAAACATTTGGAATTTAGATGTGATGCAAGATGCCAAGCATCACCATAGTCAAAGATAAGAGGCCTCATATCTGGATGAGCACCAGGGGCTTC